TATATATATATATATATATATATATATATATATATACATATACACACACACACACACACACACACACACACACACACAGTGGTCCCTCATAACTTGAATTTAATTCGTTCAGAACTCCAGATCGAATCCTAAAAAGTTTGAGTTGTGATTGAATTTTCCCCATAAGAAATAATGGGAAACCAATTAATTGGTTCCCGGCCCCAAAAAATTACACCTAAATATGTTTTTTTTTTTTTAGCATTTAAACACAAAATGAACCGGATAAAACAAGAAGAGCATATACTGTACTAAACACGTCTAAGCACATTTATCAAAACAAAAAAACTGACAGTTCCTCAGACCTTGGCTCTTCGTGGTTGCCTTCCACGATGACAAAGTGATAACATTATCCAAGACGCAGTGGTGTAGATCTTGATTGTAACTGGATCAAGAAAGCAGCACCTTGGGTCACCCTTAAGAAAACTAATAAATCGTGATAAGGCAGTATTGGATTCATGTTGAGGTGACTGAAATGTGCTTTTGGGTAAAGCAAAGAAAAATATTGAATTGCTCTAATTTTAATATTTTGTTTAACATTATGTGCTTGTTCCTTTTTAAACCAGTATAACTCTTAGGTATAAAGAAAATTCCTTTGACCTGAGCTATATCGGTTCCACTTGTGAGTCACTGCCGTTCCCAGGAAGGTGAAACAGCTTTCTCTCTCTCCGGAAATGGACGACCCGCAGTATAGAAGAGACTCTGCACGGGGAACTTCGAGGTGGCCTTTTCCTGAATTAAGGCTCTGTTCAGCTGTCTTATCAAATGGCGTCTGACAAATCTTTGACCATTTACTCGTCATATCTATATGTGCATATAAATACACTTGCAGCGTCGTCGTGTGCCACAACGATGATGAATATTTCATTTCCTGACGCTGACTTAAGAGCTTGTCAGCAAGGCCTCCTGAGATGGGCTGGTGCCGTTTGTGGTTTGCTGCCGATCTCTGGGGGTGAGGTGTGTAAGACAACCATCAAGAAAAAAAAATGACAGACCTCCACAAGACAGAGGAGCCCCCCCCCCCCCAATGGACCATTCTGCCTCACACCCCGCCTTCTGCTTCACACACTGTTCTTCCACAGCTGTAGAATAGCGTGATGTGAGACTTCTGCCTCAGTTTAGTGTCACCTACATCAATACTGAAGCAGCTTCTGCCATTAGCCACAAATTCATAAATCAAAGCACCTCCCTGGCTCCATGAACATTTCACAGACCACCTACTTTAGCTTCCTCTAAATATACGTGTTGGGCATCTGCTAGAGGCTAATTTAGAACACTTTGGTCCTAAAAAGCCAGAAATGCTTTCCTTTTTAAACCCACTAGAATGTCTGTCTATTTCCATGTAATGGATCATACTGTAGGCTGGCGTGGCAGCAGCCAAATAGGTTTTTTTGGGTAATGGAAAATTGCAATAATTATGAAGAATTAATGCACAAAACAGACTGCAGTGACTGCATTTCAGTGGTAGGCAGAGGGAAACATGTGTTTATACCTAAGGCTGAGATACTTAATCTGATAAACAAGGAAGCTGCACTGGTGAGGAATACCCTATGGATGCTGGGGTGCCAAGGGGGATTCTGGGTATTATTATGTGGAATAGAACATCCTGGAATGTGAGCAAAATGTTTTACCCCAGAGTGAAGGTTTTACCCTGGGGGGTGTTATCATTTCCCTACATGTACAGTAACAGTACATTTTGCTTTTACATGTTTATAGTCCACCACAATTGCAAAGTATCTACAAATATCACAGGAGAAAATGATGGCTGTGGTTTTGGTTTTTGTGAATGTGAGTGTCTGGACTGGCCTATTTCATTATAGGTTTTGTGAGCAGACTGAGGGGGTTGCATGAATTTGAATGGGTGCTTCACAGTGAAGGGAGGAAGCCTGCCTTGCTCCCCAACACCAATTACTGTAGTTACATGGTATTGTGGGGTGGGGTGTTGATTCCAAGGGCCCTTGAGTGACAGGGGCCCTAAAATATGTGGAGCATACTTGGACTGGTCTGGGTTGGGGCCCGATATCTTTAGCTGCACCCCTGCAAACGAGCAAAGCTTGGGGTCACAGCTCAGGGTCAGCCAGCATCCCTGAAGCAGTAACATTTCAGAGCCACTGGATGCAAACCCACAACCTTCATTACATAGCCACAAATCCCTAACCTACCGAGATTCATCCTGCCCCAAGCAAAAGTTTTACACAGTGAAGAATTCCATTTAGCTTATAAACCAGTTTAGTGGATAGGTATACGATACTTATCCCCTAACATTTTAAACCAAAACCGTATTATGTGAAGACCATATTAATACTTGGCATCCGTGTCTAACAATAAATGTCACGTTAATAGCACGGTCACTATTGCAGGCAAACAATTTCAAAGACTCATATAATTATTTCAATACAAAAAAAATACGTCAAAGGGCTTTAGGTAACACTGTGAAAGAAGTGCGGTTTGAGTGACAGGGGTATGGATTAAAGGCATGCGGGACAGTGCCAGCTATTAATATTTTCTAATATTGCACAAAACTTGTGCCCTGTACCTAAACATTGATAGCAGTGGTGAAACTGGTTTGAAGGAGATGCTTTTTTTTTTGGATAATAACCTGTATCCCCGATCCAATCCCATCCCATCCCACATACTGTACAGTATACTGCTGTCTCCAAGCTTCGGAGGAGCGCTGGTGCTCCACACGTCCGTGCAGAAGTAGTGAGACTCAGTGGCGTCTTATACCCATAACAATAAATTATCCAGCTTTTGCATTGTGCCTCTTGGGGGGAAAACGATGTCGTTTCGGTAGTTTTTCATGCCAGGGGTAGAATATACATCCGCCGACGTTTTCCACAAATAGCCTCGACTTTAATACGGCGAGATTGAATTTGCAGCAGGCGGTCACGTGTCCGTGCGTGACACCATCCAAAAGTTGCAGTTGCAGGAAAGAGCGGAATTTATCCCGTGATTGAACAGCAGCGCACACTGGATGCCACCTGGGAGGTCGGATCTGGTGATCCTCCCCGCCACTACCTGTATCTCGGCTTGGGAAACTGGGGGAGGGGTTAAAAAAAGCCGAAGGTGCCATGGGACACGACTACGCTATCCTGGAACAATTAACCTTGATATGAAACCTGCTTGCTGCTAATTAATGACGAGGCAGTGAGGTGCGCGCGTTCGGCTGCCGGCTGTTAGATCGCCGTGCGCGGTCTCAGAATAATTACATTTTTGCAAAGCTGCTTGTCCACTCCAAGCAATCGGATCTCGCTTACCGGTCCACAAAACTGGGAATCTACGACTGACAATATAAAAAGACCTGCACTACTGGCGGAAGAATTATAAAACTGGGAAAATCTAAATATGTGTTTATAATTATACACGGATTCTGCCGTGCGTTGCCACAGCTGATCTCCTAATTGCTTGGCTGTGTGGGGCAGGGGATTCTCACAAGCTGTTTTCGTAATCCAGCATCTGAACGGCATCGTACCGGCACACATGCGAACTGTCCGCTGTCGGTGGACCTCGGAGCCTGCACCCGGTTTGCGTTTGACGGGGACCGCATCTAGACCGCGTCCTCCGCGAAGCCAACTTGGGCCACCTATGCGGTGTCTCCCTTTGCGATTAAGCGGCACCGAAAAGTAGAGAAGAGTCCGCGTCGCTTGCGGCCATGACCATGGAGCCGGACGGGAACCTGAGCGTGTCTAAAAAGACTGTGATCGCCAAGATCTTCAAAGTTCGCAAGCGGAGGGAGATGCTGTTCGTGCAGGTCTGTTTCATCTGCAGTGTCCTCTTCATGGCGTGGTGCATGTCAGCGCTGCTGACAAAAACAGGTGAGTACCCGGTCTGGAGCAGCAGCGGCGGGCGGGCGCGTCAGCCTCCGGGGCGGCGTGGAGGAGCCGCGATCTCTGCGGCGTAATCGCTCCCGCAACTACGTTCACACCAGCTCCTCTAAGAAATCCTCTTTCAAGGACATGCATTCGCCAGTTTAATATTACAATGACTGATTCCCCTCTCTTCCAGTTACATCCTACTGGTATCAGCTGTCAGCCGGTTAATATAGCCAGCAATCATGGCATGTCATCTGATTTATTTGCGGCACGAACGACTGACTTTATCTCACCACTAATGTGTTTAGTGAAGGGATCCTTTCTTATGATAAACGTTAATTATAAACCTACGGATGAGCGCTAGTCGTGCTGGGGAGCCTGTAACGTGACATGCTCGCAGTCCGTGTTTAGACTGGCTATAGATCAAGAATATAGTAGCTGCCATGTGGTGATGGCCTTGACTTCTGGCGTACGGGTCAGCTGAGACCGTGGTTTATATCGGTGTATAGATGTGCACCTCTGCCGCAGTACACCGCGCCAGTGACGCCTCGGAACCGCGATTCGGCCGCTAACTTGGTCGTGGTTTGGGTGCATAAGAATTGCGGATCGTGCTGATGGCAGTTTTTTTTGCTGGGGGGAGGTGCGGGTATCGGCAAAACGGAGCCCTGCCTGATCATCTTTCCTGCCAGTCGTGCGGGTTCTTGGACACGTTGTGGCAAACGCAGCCTCCTCAGCAGTTTGCCGCTGCCCTCGGCCACCCCGTGTCGTGGCTGTGCAGGGCGGAAACGTGACGGACAAACTGAAATGACCTTGTGGGTGTCGATTGCCGTCACGGCCATTCTGGATCCATCTGCTGTATCCAAAAAAACTGGAGTGTCGGAGAAAGACGGGTTTTGCAAAAAATAAGCATGCTCTGCATTAACGTACGCATTCTGGGTTCACTTGATCTGTACTGCAGTTGTACATGTCTGCGTGATCTGCACCTATGAGGGAGACGGCCGACAGTCTCCCCACCTTCCTCTGCCACAGAGGAAAACAATAAGGGTTGAAGTTTGACAACTTCATCGCGCTGACAAATTAGGCTTCGAAGGGAGACTTTGAGGCGCATCCATCAAATGTCCCGCCAGCTGTGTATGTTTGACATCCCGGAGCACCTAGCTTCCCCGTGCTGGTGTCGATTGCCTCCATTATGATGCCCATTCATGTATTTATAATAACTTAACATTCAATTAAGAAGGTACTTCAGCAAAACTCCCAGAAGAAAATCTATGGAGCAGCTGTATCCATTGTTAGATGTATGTTTGCACGTCACATGTGAAGAACCACTTTGTTTGGGATTTTAATGTTGCTTTTAAAATGACTAACTAAAAGTTAGGGCAGGCCTATGTATATTTGTGCTTTCCCTGCGATTGTTAATGCCAGCGGTACCTAGTTTATTCAGCCGCTGTCAGAAACGCAAGGAAAGCGTGGGGGATGTCCCTGTCATTCTCTAGTGTGACTTTGTGTGCGCAGATTCTCCCCACCTCCCAGGACTGGGGAGTTTTCGTTAGTGTTTGCGCTAGAAGCCCAGAGGTGAAAGGAAAAATGTGTGACTGTCAGACAGTTGGGGGAAGGTGTTAATTGTAATTCCTGCAATGCATGTAAAGTGAAAGTAGTGGCAGCATCTGTGCAGCACGTTGCTCCCATCTTGTTTACTAACCGAGTGTATAGTTAAGGTGTCTCTTGAAGAGCGTGCTGGGTGGGTTAGTTGACTGTCAATCACTGACGGGTGTGTGATCCCATTTGTTGCCTTCCTTGGTCCCTCCATCACACCAGGCTGTGATTGGCTGGCCTCATCCCCATGTATATGGCAGTTAGTGTGTGATGTACTTCATGGTCAGTACGAGAAGCCGTGAAGACAGGACTAGAGTCATTGTGGGCTGCAGTGCCTAAAAAGGAACTGATGCCCTCTATTTATGGATAATGCAGTATCAGAGGCAGCTTGGTGGGCCGTGTACTGTTTATTTTGGGGGTGGGGTGGGGGGGCACTGTTATCGCAGCCTAGTTTTCCACCTGATGATGTAATGACCTCTCAACACGCCTGGTGACGAGACCCCTGCATCTGGTGCATGTAGTGTAGCCTCACACCTACTAACAGATGTTTTGCACTGATTAATGGTTTCTGTTTGCGCCCCCTGCAGGTCATGGGATGATCGTGGAAGGGATCCCCGTCGAGCATGAGCACGAGTACTGGGGCCGCCGGCTGATGGCTGCAACTGGTACCAACCACACAGAGGAACGTAACTGCACTGAGCCAGGTGTGACGGGGAGGGAGCAGAGATCTGGGGTGTCAGTCTGTGTCTGTCAGTCTCTGTCTGTCTGTCTGTCTGTCTGTCTGTCTGTGTGCCTGCCTGCCTGTCTGTGTCTGTCTGTCTCTCTGGAACATTAAGTCATGAGTCTGTCGTCTCTTGTTTGCAGGAAACTGTGGGCCGAACATAAAGATTTTTCTTTAAATGATGAAATGTTCTTTGACAGTAATTTTGATATTACACCTGTGTTACACATAAACCACTGCATATTTTGAATACTTTTGAAGACCTAAATTCAGTGCTGTGGGAATTCTGGGGAAGGCAGGAAAACAAGCTTGCACCCAAATATGTTCCTCTTGCTTTGCCCACTGTTTGTCAGAGGAGTTCATGTGTTTCTTAAGGAGCTTTTGAATGGATCTGTCCTCATCTCTTCTAGGTTTGCGAAGAATCTAGGTTTTCTTTTTTTCTTTGGCTAATGTAGCCATTATTTCTACAGTCTCAAGGCTCTGGCTGTATAATAGATGGATTAAGAGGCTTTGAGATTTCTCACTTTAAAACATTATGCCCTTAAGAGTTGTTTGATGGCCTGGTGAATAGGAGTGGACGGAAATTAAAGAAACTCTTGGTCAATATGCTTAACACCGCAGATAAGAACAGTGGTGGATTGGTATGTTTTGTTTGGTAAAGAAACAAATCTATATAAAACTCAACTGGCACCTGGGAATCTGCCAATTGAATCTTAATTGCCCATATTGTTTCTGTCCTGAGATGGACTAGCATCCCATCCAGGGTGTCCCCCTGCCCTGTGTTGCCTCAGATAGACATTAGGCTCCATGTCGCTTTCCAGGATAAGTGGTTTGAAGATGACTGATAATTAATGAGCCCAAATGAGTTAAATGCGCTGAGTTTGCCGCTGCATAGTGATCTCTTCATCGCAGAGGCTTTAATAAGGTGTTTCTGCCACCTGGCTGTAGCTGAGGCAACATCTGCTTTCTCATTTTGACCTTCTTGTTTGTGAAAAAATGTTTCGCTCTGATCATTTCAATCTTTCAATGTGCTTGTCCGCAGCTGGGAAATTTTGATAGCAACATTCTGGAAATGGCAAACTTCTGTGTAGTTTTGCGGGCGGTCTACGGCCGCCTTGCTTGTCATTAAATGTCATAAGGTAGTGGGGCTGTTTACCATGGTAACAGAAACCCGGTTCTAAAAACAATTGTGTTGTCTGGATGGAATCCATCACGACTGAGTGTGGCATCAGCAGGAGAGATTGGGACCAGTCAACAGAGTCATAGGCATTGTGCCCCCTCCCAAATGCAGCGGGAGTGCAGCAAATGAACCTCCATAAGATGATGGTGATAAAAAAATAAAAATAAATCCTAAATGAAACATTTTTCCTATAATAACCCATATTTTGGTTGCAGACATGACTTGAAGGTAGAATGAAACTAGTCCTTTTAAAGCTGTTTTGGGCCCCTGCTCTGCAGTCACTCAGTCACGCTCGCTCTCACTCAGTCACTATGTTCCCAACCATAAAAAATACCATGTCAATCCTGGGGGTCATGTGACCCTTTTAGTGCTGTAATACTGCAGTTGAATTTCTGTAATTCACCAGTCTGTGTCTTAATGACTAAATTGTGAAGCTGTCTGTGCGAATGAGGAGGGGCTGTCACTGTCGCCTCTACGGACAGCAGGAGCGTGATCGGAATCTCAGACGCTCCACCCTGACTGCTGTGGCCAGTGTTTGCTGCGCGAGCCACTGAATTGGTTTACGGTCCCACAGTCTGGGGACCGAGCCTGTTTTTTTGTTTTCATCATGTGAGTGAGAGCCCCCCCTATCTCGCACCATATCGTTCAGTCCTGTGGGTCTGTCTGTATGAAAGTGGCTGAAACCACATACCTTAAATGTATGGTTCTGATCCTTCAGTCGGGTCACTGCAGGTCTGATCATGTCAGCTGTCAAGTTCTGTCAAGGAAGCAGCTTGGCATCTGATGCCCGAGTGATGTGTGGGCACCTCTGAGGCTTGACCGCGCTGTCAGACGTCGCTGCTGTTCCTGTGAACAGATTATAGTCGAGGTGCTTAGGAAATGGCGTAATGCAGTTATGGGTTAACTCCCACCCCCCCCCAGCTATGCTCTTGCAGTATAATTGGTATAAATATGCAGTTGTTGGCATTTCAGCTCCAGCGTGCCGTGAGAGAGCAGTGGCGTGTGATTACGAGTCCCTCAGCGCCGCCGATTCCTCTGCAAGGGGCTTCTCTCAGTGGGGGGGGGGGGGCTCTGTTCAGCCCGCTTATATAATCACACGGCTCACACTTCAGGTGCGAACAGAGTCATTTCTGTGCAGTCATGTCATCGTCTAAGCCGTGGCCAAGATGGAGTGTGAGTCAAGAATTCAGCGCTGTGTTAGTTGGGCTGCCCCCTACCCACACTGGACTGGGGGGGGGGGGGGTGTAGAAGAGCCATGTGGCTGACATTCTGTCCATTTCCTGTTTCTCCAGCCCCCTGCATGGGTGGGTGTGTTTGAGGGCAGGGGTGCTGTGAGAGCGCCATGCGGACATGTGGGGCATCGCTGGGAGTCCTCCCTCCCCATGCCGTAGCAAGATGGGAGTAAACGCTCTATAATCACACTACCGACTGATCCGACAGCAGGGAAAAGCCCAGGATGGGCGGGTGAGTGTGAGGAGGGGAGGGGCACATCTCATTTTTGCATATGTAAGACATTTAGGTCGACTTTAAGATGTTTCTCTATAGCTGCCTACCCCCTGAAGAGCAAATTTAGTCGTGCGCTCCCTAGTGTTGACTAAGCTTTAAAGAATCTTCTCCAACTCCTTCTCACTGCTTGTCTGCTCTTGGATCACCTTCAACATAACGCAAGGTCCCAGAAGGTCTGTTTACGTTCATCTTGGGTCAGTACTTTACCAGAAAATGGTCTCAATGATTTAACTGGATATGGGGGCAGTGTGTGGTTCAGTGGATTAGTATGCTGCGCCTGTGATCGGAAGGTTGTCTGTTCAAATCCCAGACTTGGCAGTCACCATTGGGCCCCTGAGTGAGGCCCTTAACCTTGGTTGATCCAGGGACTGTCTGGCTCTGCTTTCCCAAAAAGATGGTGATAAAGGCGGTTTTGTTTTGTCCTCCGTCTCATGTCTCTACCCCAGCGTCTCTTCGCGTGAAGTGGTGTTTCTGATCCCACAATCTTGCCATTGACCTCTGTGCTTTATCAGGAAGTAAATTCTTTTTTTTTTTTGTTCTTCTTACTTCGTGTGCTAAATGCTCTGTTGGGTCACTTAAGTCAAGCAACCGTCATGGAAAAAAACCTCCATTTGGATCTGGCAGTGATGACTAAACAAACGCCCAGGTCATTGTTTACCTGCAACTCTGAGCTGCAGAAGCTGAGGACGGCGCAGAGGGAGTGTGTACAGCGGGGGCCAATGGCAGAGAGTTCCGGCAAGGCAGAGTGCGTGACCTGTCAAGTGGATTTAGCTGCAGATCCTTATTTAAGCTCAGACCTTGAACTTTGAGACATTTCTGGTGCTCTCTTTGGAAATTGAGGGTCGCAAGCTAATGTATGCTAAACTGATCTGTAGTAAATTAGACAAGTTGGCTGTCGTGTTGAGTCTCGGAACTTTGTGTGCAGCATCTGTCAATGTCGCTCTCCGTCAGAAGGCTGGAGATGTTCTCCTGCTGCAGACTGAGGATGCTACTGCCGCAGTATAATAGTCCAGTGCTATTTGTGGACAGCAGAGTAATTATTTGGCGAGCTGGTGGATTGTTATGAAGTTCAGACCTGTTTAATTCTGTTTTGAGAGAAAACACTTTAGGGAAAGATCCTTGGGTCCTTGGGGTGGGGGGGCTTAGGAGAGACGTGTGGTGTGTCGTGTGAGTTGTGATAAAGCGGCAGCTTGAGTCACCTTGACCCAGTTGGTGTGTTAATTGCTATTCTAGTACGGGGCTTCAGAGATGTCATTTAGCCAAGTGCGAACGGGCCGGCCCAGTTCTCCCACTGCGGCGATGACACCGCACTTTCTGACGACTTCTCTCCACTCTTGCTTGTTGGGTTGGGTGGGGAGGGACGGACCTGGCTGTGCTCCACGGGGCAGGGAGCGAAGCCTGCCGGGTTCACGCAGGGCCAGACATATGGACGTGGCACCTTGTTAGTCGTCTTGACGCCCAGCCAGAGCTGGCCCTCCGTTCTGTCGCCTTCCCTATTTTTATATATACGACCCAAGACCTTGAGATGGTCACATGTCACCGATGGTCACGTCACCAGCTGGCTAAACCTAATACATTTTTAATTCATTTGATTTCATGCCGGGCGTCCGGAGTGTTTGGTGCTCAGGTCAGCTCTGGGTTAATGGAATAAGGTCTGCGATACAACTTCAGAGCCAAAGTCACTACAGAAGACTCAGATTGGCTGGTGAAAGAATTGAACTGCCAGTGTTTGGGTGATCTTGCAAAACCAAGAGAAAATATTAAAGATCTGGCTATGACCTTGGACTTAACTTTGGGCCTCATCTTCCCCTTCAAGATGGAGCAGGGTGTAGTGTAGTGCTGACTTGTGCCTGGTTAGTTTGACTCTGGCGACCTCTTCTGTTCATTAAGTTTATTGCAGCTGAATGAGGCAGGTCTACAGGGATCCTTGTTTACATTGAGAAGTTGAAGGACATGCCCCCCACCCCCACGTGAGTGTACTTAATGAAATGCCCACTATGCTTATTAAAATACTCCTTGGGACCTCAACAGCTTGAGTGTGTCTTGGCAACTAAAATATTTTTCATTGCAACTCCGCATCTCTCCACAGTCCTTCCCCAGAATGATGGCTAATTTACGCTGATGCCTGTGTGGCGGCAGGTAGCCTTGTGCTTACGGATGTGGGAGGCTCATCTGGTCATGTAAGGAGAACTAAATTTCTCCAGCAAAGATGTGAAGCTGCGTATATGGGCCAAAAAAAGCCTCTGGTTTGGCCACTAACATTTAGAAATAACTTGGGTTATGAGTTCCCTGCGATGGGTTGCTGACCATCCTGGGTGAGTCCCCATTTTGTTCCTGTATATTCTGGCATAGGCTCTGGGTCTCGTGACCCTGCAATGAGCAAGCTGCTATGGTCAATGGATGGATCGTTTAAAGTGTTTGCAATTATTAAAAATGTGCAAAGTCGCGTTTGGGCAATGTTTCTGCCCCAAGGTGCTATGACGGTAGCCTATTGCCTGACTGCCCCCAGTCGGAGCTGTTTACGGAGATCCACCCGGCCTCCCCTGTCGCAGTTCTGGCATGGGCCTTACGATCCCCGGCTCGTGTTCACCGCCCGCTCCTCTCCTCCTCCTCGTTTCAGCGATCCAGGAGTTCCCCGAAGACTTGTTCTCCAACACCGAACGGAAGCAGGGAGCGGTGTCGCTGCACATCCTGGCGGTAAGCCTCCCACCGCAGGCTGGGTACCCGACCGTTTGGCTTTGGGGTGGGGGCCTTGGGCGCAGTGTGATGCTCCCACCGCGACCGGCCAGCTGGGGTTTACCGCCGTTATGGCCGCTCTGGTTGGATGCCGTATTTGAGCTGCTGACAGTTTTCATCCCTACTCATGGTTACTCAACTGTGGGTTAGAGCGCCCCCTCCTGGTGCCATAATCCACAACGGGCCCTCACCCACCTTGTGAGCGCTCGGGATGTCCAGCACTTCTTGTGGCTGCCGACAGCTCATCACACAGCAAGGGTTTTGCCAACAACTGACAGCCGAATTTATGACAACGAGATGGACCCCATGTGACCAGTATAATTGATGCATTCGTTGTGCATTATGGAAAACGCCGGCAGTTTGTCATGTTGACAGGACGAGGGTGCAACACGTTATTCATTCTGAAATGAAATATCCGGAGGGCCCAACACGATCAGACGCATGGCAGCGATGTTTTGCTGCCTCATTACCTGATTATTTCTATGTGGGTTATTATTTTTTTTTTAATATGGCCCTCTTCTTGATGATTTGATTTTTATTTTCCCCCTGCTTATGCCTGGAAAGCTTCTGCGATAAAAGTAGTCAGGGTCTTTTTAAAGGCTTTCCCACGCACTCCAGCACCCATGCCATGGTCAATCAAGATGGCATTCTGTCGTCTTCCAGGCCCTGTACATGTTTCTGGCCCTTGCCATAGTCTGCGATGACTTCTTCGTGACGTCGCTGGAGAAGATCTGCGAGGTGAGCGGGCCGCCCGGCCCACTGGCCCCCCATCCTGCCCCCGCCCTGCCAGCCCACCAGGAGACCCTCCGGCTTCCCTTTCTTGTCCACAGAAGCTGGACCTGAGCGAGGACGTCGCCGGGGCGACCTTTATGGCCGCGGGCAGCTCCGCCCCCGAGCTCTTCGCCTCCATCATAGGTGAGGCGCGCCGCCCCATTCGGAGAACCGGAGCGTACCGGTCCAGACCTCCGACTGAGCCATACTGGCTGTCCCGCAGGGGTCTTCATCACCCACGGCGACGTGGGCGTGGGTACTATCGTCGGCTCTGCGGTCTTCAACATCCTCTGCATCATCGGTGTTTGTGGGATCTTCGCCGGCCAGGTCTGTACACCTCGATCTCATCGCCGCCAGCCGCTATTGGACCCTAAAGCATAGTGGGCCGATAAACGGCGATCATTGGGCCTGGCGTGACGGACGCAGCGCTCTTTGAATGGCCGTGCGCTCCACTTGCTTGCTATGCCCTGGGCTGCATGATGCTAACGCGGTGGCCATTCTCACTCTCGACTGTCCCCTCCCCCTCAGGTTGTGATGCTCACCTGGTGGTCGGTGTTCCGGGATTCCTTTTACTACACTTTGTCTGTGGTGGCGCTGATAGTGGTAAGCTCTGGCCTGTACATGTACACACACACACACATGTACACACACACACACATGTACGTACACACACACACACACACAGAGTCCATGTATTCATATCTTTGTGGGGACTTTCCATTCATTTATATGGGCTTAAAACTAATCCTAACCATGCCATCCCTAACCCCTACCCACCCGTCACCTTAACCATAAGTTACCAAACAAAACATAGTGGCACTTTTCTGCTGGCATACGCGAGCCGACCCGTACTGCGAAGAGACACTGACGTACCGGTTTCGGGTCGCTTCGGTTTTCCACTGCAGATTGGTCGGCTTGGTAAAGACGTTGCTGGGTTTGTAGAATGACCGTGATGTAAAACGGAAACGCTTATTTACTGTTCACACTGTGTTTGTAATTATTTACTGTGTGCCTAAACCTAGTGGTGGTCAAATGAAGCTTCATGAACCGCTTGCTGTATTTTCTGACCCTGCTTCATGGTGCTCTCTGTTCAAAAAAGGGCTCAAATCATACCCCAACGCAAACCAAGAGCACCATCTAGTGGGGTCCAAAAATACAGCAAATGGTTCATGAAGCTTTTTACTAAATTACTAAATTCTGCTAGCATGTCTGTGATAAACGCTGCGTTATGTTGGCATCAAATGCTAGCGGAACTAGCATTCGCTTGTGTAAATTTGTGTTATGAATCCACTCCACTCAGCTGCTCTATAATACTTTTGTAAGCAGTTCGTTGGAAATTTTAGTTTTCAGGAATGCATCAATACATCGTGATATGCGATACTACTGATAATGAATAACATACAGAACACATACCTTTTTTTCCTTTCAGATAATCCCTGCAGTTGTATGATGATGTAGCCTTCTCAGTTTGCTCACATTTTCAGCCATGTCAGCTTGGGAACGGCTCAGTTTCCAATGGAAAATTGTCAATTTGCGGTGTGGCTTGGTTCATGGTTGCAGTGGAAAAGCAACACCAGACTTGGCTATTTTTAGTTTTTTGAAAAAAATGCCCTCACAAAGTCAAAGTAACAGGTTTTTAATCATATTTTGGGATACTGGGTCTTCACAATGTAATTTACTTACACACACACACACAACAACCCCCCCAGTTGTGGTTATGGTTTGCTCCCCATAGTGGTATTTTCCTGTACCTGTGTTCTATCTGTTATATGTGCTGATTAAATACAGCTTCCCCCCCTTTCTTGTTCTCGTTCACCCTCCCCCAGTTCATCTACGATGAGAAGATAGTGTGGTAAGTGGCCCCCACCCTCTCCGTGTCCCCACTTTGAGAGCTGCCACACTTCAACTTTGACAGACTCCGCCTCTCCCTCAGGTGGGAAAGCCTTATTCTGGTGGTTATGTATGCAGGCTACATCATCACCATGAAGTAAGTATGCATGCTGCGCACTTCTTCTACCAGCAGGGGGCATACACATCTCTCTCACGCAAGACATCCAGTGATGGTGCTCTATGTTGAGCCGTGCGTAGGATGTGCGGGTGTTGTGATGCTGAAGCTGTGTGCAGGAAAACCTGGGGAGGAGCATTTTTTAATTTTATATTATCCCCCCATTCACCATCACTAGTATGAATTGGGGCAGTACATTCTCCTGATGGCTCATCATCCGTGGCCCATTTTGTGTGTAATCATCATGTTCGGTCCCCTAGGCAGTCAGCAACTTCCCACTCAAAGTGCTTAATCTGTTGTCAGTATGTCTGGGGAATCGTCTCGGAATCAGGCGTTTCGCTCTCCGTGGATGTTCCCAAGGCTTGATTTTTGCTTGGTTAATCCCCTTTATAATTCTGAGGGGGGCAATCACTTTTCCTGACTCTCTCTTTCCTTCCTCGTGCAGATTTAACACAAGCCTGCAGAATTTCTTCACAGGGAAGTCCAACAAGAATGTTGCCAATGGCGACACAATGAGAAGCGAGCTGGAGGAGGGTAATGATCATTATGATGGTAGTTGGGATGACCCATCGTTGCCCTTGCTGAGTCCAGGTAAGGCTAACCAGGCAGGCTGCGCTGCTTCGCCTGCTAGAGGGTGAGCCCGTGTTAGGGGCACGGCAGGGTGGGTGGGACCTCCATACCAGCTTCCTTCAGGAGTCCCAGGAAAGGTTTCCGGGAAGCGAAAGTGGCCAAGTTGGGTTGGGGGTTGACAGGACGAGCGGATGCTGGGTACAGCACGAGGTACCGGACCCTCCTGAGCCTGGCTGCTGTGGGAGATCGAATACATGTGTGGTGCAGCCTCCCTTGCTGATTGGTTCTGCAGTCGCTCTGATCTTCACCTCCAAGTCTTTCCAGCAGCGCTTTGACACTTTGGCTAAAACGACCTCTGCTAAGCTCTAGTTCTGCTGCTCTCTTTCCCGCCAAGTCTGCACGGGCCTCCGATTCCCGACGGCGGCCTGCTCTCCTTCGGGTAGCCGCTGGCCCCTTCAAGGGCTGGTTGTCTTTATCTGGTGACGCCTGTCTGTTTAGCCTTACTATGCTTGCTGTTTGGTGCCGTTTGGCCTTGCTCTTGCTCTGTGCCTCCTCTCTACATTCTTGGGTTTGCATGTTGGGCTAAGTGATCTGTGTGTGTGTGTGTGTGTGTGTGTGTGTGTGTGCGCGCGCGCATGTGCGTGTGCACCTGCATGCCTCTCTACTTGGCCTGGCAGTTCCACCTCTATGTCTATGGCTCCAAGGCTGGGAGGTCACAGTTTGCAGACTTGCAAGAAGTGTTTAGATCTACATGCAAATCGAAATTATGAAATTTCCGCAGCTCCGCCCGAATCCGTCAGCTTTTGGGCCTTGGAGCGGTCTTATTGGTTTTGTAGTCAAGCCTATGTGACAGAGGAGAGGTGTTTTTGCTTTTTAGTGTTTATTTGTGCCTTTTAATGTTACAGTTGGCCTGTTCTATGTTTTAAAAAAAAAAAAAAAAAAGCAAAACAAACCCCAAATCTGTATAACATACCTGAATCAGAATACAAATTCTAATGCTAAAGGCTACATCAGTTGACATCCCAGCCTGGCTGCTCTGGTCTCCACTCTGGTCTCGAATGGCATGTCTCCACAGCTGAAGGCATTCCTGTTCTCTCAGTGAAGCCCAGCAGGAATTACACCCGCGGCTCCGTGGTGATGGTGGATGAGATCATGAGCAGCAGCCCTCCCAACTTCCGCTTCCCGGAGGCTGGCCTGCGGGTCATGATCACCGACCACTTTGCACCCAAGACACGTCTCCGGATGGCCAGCCGGCTCATCATCACCGAGGTACGGGGGAGCGGGAGCTGCCAGTTAGATTAATTTGGCACTGAAATCACCGAGCCCAGTCTGACGATTCCTCTAATCTGAGTAATCTGGTTTCTCCTATGGTGTCTCTGAGCAGCGACAGAAACTGGTCCAGTCCGCAAACGGAGTGGAGTCTGTGGTGGTGATGGGGAAGCTGGAAATGGAGAATGGGAATGTACCGGAAGATAAGCCGGAGGAGAGTGACCTGTCCTCACCGTTCACCATACCAGGTAAGTACCACATGCAAGGCTGCCTTTTAACGTTGTGGGGTATTAGAGGGGCAGTAATTCATCCGCAGCAGTCAAGCTTATTAGCCAATAATATATTTTGAGTTGGTGAGTCACATGGGAGGAGCCACTCCAAAGGCCAATTAGCTGGGGGCAGTGTACCCCCCCCGCCCCCAATAAATACCCCTTTAGTTGGAGGGTATTAAGGCTGGGTGCTACATGCTATGACTTGGCAAAAAGTTCCCTGATATCATTGGTCTGTCTCAATAGTACCAGTTTTATTAACCATTTTGTGATGCATGACATTGCTGCCTCAGGCCTACCCACCTGTTGGGTGAATCTCTGCTGTGAAAACCAAATGAGGGCATGTGCATATTCCCACTGAAGCTGCAATTGTTTCTCATTCCTGTAGGGGGTGTGATGAACAAGGTAAAATGGATAATCTCCTGGCCGATTCTGCTGCTGCTCTACTTTACGGTGCCAAACTGTGCGAAGCCACGATGGGAGAAGTTCTTCATGCTCACCTTTATTCTGTCCACACTCTGGATTGCTGTCTTTTCATACTTCATGGTGTGGATGGTGAGTGGGGGAGGTTTATGTTGCTATATGATGGACAGCTTATCCACAGGGACTTGTGCATCACGGTATCTATATAGTCAGGATTAAGGATCGAACAGCAGTACCCTGATCTGACCATTAGAGGGCAGCTTTAATGTACACAAGCTTGTTGGCTTATGCCTAAACATTCAGCTATGCTTACACTGGTGCATGTGGCATCCCCATATGCAGGTCACGATAATCGGGTACACCCTGGGAATCCCTGACGTCATCATGGGCATTACCTTCCTGGCAGCTGGCACCAGCGTTCCCGACTGCATCGCCAGTCTCATCGTAGCCCGACAAGGTGCTGCATCTCCTCCCCTCGGTCCTGACACTTGTGTATCTACCCTACACGTTTCTGGCATTTCATCCTCGCGCATACGGACCGCGTTGGGTTCGGCTCCGTTGGGCGCTCGTGCCCACCCCGGTTATCCGGCCTTCTCTCTCTGCAGGCCTGGGGGATATGGCGGTCTCCAACACCATCGGCAGCAATGTCTTTGACATCCTGGTGGGTCTGGGCTTGCCCTGGGCCCTGCAGACCATGGCGGTCTCCTACGGCTCTGAGGTATTGGTCCTCTAAGCATATGTCCGTTTTTGGTAACCTTTCACGCCCATGTTGCGTGAATCTTAAGTATAACGTAATAATCAGACCAGCTCCTTCTCCTCCTCCCCTAGGTGCGGATAAACAGCGCTGGGCTCGTGTACTCGGTGGTACTTCTGCTGGGTTCTGTGGCTCTCACAGTAAGTCACCGTCCCACTCACCTGTTCATACTCCACACCTTCTGTGTACGTGCGCTCATGCTCCCCTTGCAACTACATTGTAGGTTTCGGGGATCCACTTCAACAAGTGGAAGCTGGACTTTAAGCTGGGGGTTTACGTCATAGTGCTCTACGCCGTCTTCCTCTGCTTCTCCATCATGATCGAGTACAACGTCTTCACCTTCGTCAACCTGCCCATGTGCCAAGAGGACCACTAAGATTTGCTGGCTCCATCCCAGTCCAAACCATACCTCTCATCTGTTCTCACCATTCCAATTGGCCTGACCCAGCCCGCTGAGCCTCAGTCTGGTTCCTGATCTTGTAACCCCCCCCCCCCTCCATTCTGCCATTCTTTGTGAGAAGAATGGTCTCCAGAACCTCCTCTCCACCTGGGGAAATGGGACTCCTCCATAAAAGATCCTGCTGTGTTCCAGCCCCAGGGCTGCCCAGGTCCCCCACTGAGGCCCACAGGAACCTCCCCATGGCCGCTTTCTTCCTCTCCCTCTTATAGATGGGACTCCAGATGGCGTTCTGTCCGCCACCGTCGCTCCGCCCCCTTCGTGTCTCTAGGAGCCCGCAGCTCCATCACTCGACCTCTGCTGCAGAGGATTGCCAATGACTCTTAAAATTCTACGAGAATGCAATCTGGCAGCTCAAATGTTGAATGGATGCCATAAGTTGATTGTTTAAACTAATAATATTGACTGCATGATGTGTACTTCCTTTTTTAAAATTAAGAATTATTTCCTAGGATCAAAACTTTGACAGCTGGAATAAAACACTGATACCTTGTGATGCGGTGAGCTTGGGAGGGGTCTGGGCCTCTCGTGTAGTTGGGGAAAGGAACAGCAGGGTTGGTGCCAGGGGGCTTTGCCCTGTGAGGGTGTCCCCCCTGTGAGGGTGTCCCCCGTCAACTCTGGCTGTTGACAGGACCCGTGTGATGCAGATCGTAATTTGAGAAGCAGGACTCACATTTTTGCGTCTGTGTGTGGGCGGGTGGGGTTGGTTTGCATGAGAACCTTTCCCCACTGGTCTGTGTGGCACGACGACTCCAGGGTCAGTGTGTGGGCATTTGCTTAGCTGGTGTTTAGCTGTCGTCTTGAAAGCTCATTGTTTCCATTCAGGGACTATTTCACTTCCCATTGTGGCACTGGGTTGCACAATGTCTATTGCACATGAATCCGTCCACTGCGTGGGCACTGGAATGGAACTCCCCCCCCTAAAGAGCATGTTGAGTGGCAAGGACATAGGGCAGGGTCTCTTGGTGTCCTTTCTGGAGGGGGGGGGGGGGCGTGTCAGTGACTATCTCCATCTGTAAGAATATGGTTGGCCTTGCATCCTGTGCGTGTGCAGTGTGTGTGTTCATCTAGGACAATTTGACCTTCTTTGTGTGTAAGTCACTCCTACATTCGACTCTTACCGTTACCTTTCTGTGTGTTTCTGTTTCTGTGTGTCGCGGTGACCCCAATTGTAGGTGTTTGGCTGTCTGGGCTACTTGGTGCTTCTTGTAGCAGGATCTATAAAGCACTAATAGGGACGTTTTGTTTGGGACTATTGCACTTTTACTCAGCTGCTGCCCTGTCCTCCCATTTTGAACCAGTGCTTCCTTTTGTGCAGTTGGTCTCAGCAGGGCTTTGCTGCCTGCATTTGTGGGTGGGAAATGTTTATTTTCTTCCTCGTTTCTCCCCCCACAATTTTTAGAGTCCTTTCCCAGTGATGGCATTTAGAGGATCTGCGATTTTAACATCAATCGGAACATGCAGCGCATGAACACTAGGTGGAGCTTTTGCTGCAGAGAGACTGGCAGCTGCAACCGAAACCGCAGCTGGGACCTTGGCCTTCATGGGAGTGGGAGGAGTCGCAGTGCCTGTGATGAGTTTATACATCTGCTCTGATTTGGCACCACAGTAGCCTCCCTGTACCTGTATCTGCTTCTTCAAAGTTAGACAGGCAGTGTGATGTTCAGTCCTCGGCCCACTGTGGGGTGGGGTTCTCTGTGAGGGCATGACTGAACCAAAATCAGCTTCCTTCTAGAGGCTGGGAATAAGTACCCTGCCGTAGTTGCATGTGCCCGGTGCTGAGGTTTTCATTTCATAGTTCATCTGCCACAGCTTTGATTCCCATCTTTGACCTTCAGTACCAGGAAATGTATAAAAATCTGAAGTGCTGAAACACAGCCGCTGTGGAACGGAGGGGAACCATTTCCTGCATGCAGCTGAGTTTTCTCTCTTGCGAATATATGAGGGCGTTACTCTATGCTTCCATTCTGCGGGCTTTTAGGTGGACATCTTCAGCTTAAAAGTGCAATATCGATACTGTTTGGTGCAGAGGTGGGAGGCTTCCGGTCTTCCTGATGTTTTGTGGACTGTATCCCAGAATCCTCAGGCTGCGATTTTTCGCTCTGGGAGGGAATGACCACGCTGCACAGCATGCTTCCTTTTCCCCATCAGCTGTTGCGGATGAGTGTGATCTTTGCTGCCAGTTGATCGGAGGGTCTACAGACGTAGACTAATCTGGTGCCTGTGTGGCTTGAAGACATAGCAACTGCATGCCGGAGGTGAAAGCCCACCCCCCCAGGTCGTCGCAGTAATTGCGATGCCGTGTGGTCAATTTCAGGCCTTAAAAAAAAAAAAAGTTATCTGTATCCAAACACAATGTAACGCTATTATTTTCCCCGGATGCTCTTAAAGCTCTCCGTGTACAATGTAGTGGCCAGTGTGCACTGGGCTTCCTGCGTGTACGTTCAGTTGCAAATGCAGTGGTTTTTGTGCAGACACCTGAGAGATGCGTGAGCCTGAATGAATGAATGTGACTTTGCACACTGTGAGGGCAATGTGATGTAGGGTCATTTTGTCAAAATAAATGGTTTAAAAAAAATAATATATAAAATCTAGCTGAAGCATACTGACCTCTGTATACCTTCTGAATGTACTTCTTGTATCTGGCTGTTAGTGGACAATGATACATTTAATTGTAAAGCAATAATGAATAATAGTTAATGATTGGCAAAAAAAACAGCTGATGTACAATTGTTTAAAAATATGGGCTGTATGATCAAATTAAACATTTATACACAGTGTTGTCTTGTCTCTTTCTTCTACTCTAATGCCTGCAGTGCGCTTGGCCATCTTCTACGTCCTGTTTGCAGTGCACTTTTCCCCAGTGCCGCAGTGGCCTGTAACACTGGCCTTTAGCATTAGGGTTTGTGTTTCTCGTGGCCAGCTTCCTCCACCTCTCACCGTAGACGTTCTTCTGTTTCCTGCGAAATCTGAGCTGCATGTGTACAGCGGGGGATTCCTTTATTCCTTTTTGGGAAATGAAACGGTTGTGAACTTTGTTTCCGTCAACTATTCTGGGTGGGAACAACTTTGTAGTTGTGGTGTGAATATTTAAGATTCGATTCCGCCAAAACAGCCTTCTACTAACTTGAGTGAGTGATCAGGCTTCGGAAATGGGAAGTGGACATTGACTGACTTTTTTTCGGCGTTGGAAAATTCTGTAGGAGGGATAGCTGGAAAAATAACTTTAAAAATAGTGAAATAATTTAATTGAACTTGGGGGGGAAACTCCCTAATGTCCTAATTTATCCTCAGGTTTCGGGATGGCAGTCACAGCGTATTTTATTATATCTGTAGGGTATCTGGCCAGTTGGCTGTGTCTCTTATAGCCAGCTGACCTCTGTCAGACTTGCAGCTCTTTCACCTCTTTGTCATCCGCTCTGGTTTTTCAATGCAGTCAGGTAAAGCAGATCGAAAGCAAATCATTAAGGGCTGCATGTTTTAAACATTTTGTTGTTTTTAACGGCCAGGCCCCACTATTAAGCTATACCTGCTTGTTAATGCAAACAGCCTGGTCCTACAAATGGGTGAATTTGAATATGTATAGCAAGTAGAGAGCCAAGAGGTACGGATTCTGTGAGGCTCCGACCTGTGATCTGTGTGATTGTGCGCGCAGTGTGAAAGCTGGTGTCGGGCGTGTGGTACTGTATCTCTCGCGCTCCTCTGGTTTTCACGCTGTACAGAAAGGTATGATGAACAAAAAAATACCCAGTCAGGGTCAGTCCAAAAACACCTTGTTAAGGAACGAGGAAAGAGAACTACTGGAACTAACAGGAAGATCGAAAGTGCAACAATAACAGCACGGTACAACAGTGGTGTGCAGACATGCTTTTCTGAACTCATCAGTCATACTGCAGACAGGATTGGTCCTGCCTAGCTGCTACTGAGATTTTAGTATGGGTTCAGGAATGTTGATTTTACCCTGAACTCCTACCGTATTTTAAATATATACAGGTTTGTGCTTGGCTCTGTTAGGGAGGTGAGTCACATGACTGGGTTCTTTTATAGACAGACACCTGCTGTCTTCCTAATGTCTGCTGGTAACATAAACTGAAAATTTTTGCTTTTCTTTTCCCCAGTAAATTTTGCTCGATCCCCTTACATTCTAGCAAATTCAACTTTTTTTCTCTCTCTTTCCCAAGCACCCAAGTGTGCCCCCCTCGTCCTGCTGCCATGTCCTGGAAACGCAGTCCCCCATCCCTGATCCCCGCTTTGCTCTGGCGTGGAGTTCCTGGTTCCCCCCCCCCCCCCCTGCAGCACGGCCCCGGCTCCGTCAGGCCGCTTGGCGGCTGTGATCTTTCACAGCTGGATGAGCAGGCATGTGCAGGATGCGAAACCCACATGCCACTGCAAAACTGCACTTGGACAGGGGAGGCGCTATTGGTCAATGCCGCCACAGCGAATAAATACTGCCCAACTTACAGTGCCAGACATGGGGGGGGGGATTGTTACATTTATGAAGAAAACACATTTTACTGCAGTGGGGGGAGGAGGCAGTGTTTAGAGTTAGGTGGGGGTGGGGGGTGCACATGGTGACCAGCGCCTGCATACCACAGGCTGTGCTGTGAGCACACATCTGGAACTGTTTAATCTACACAGGAAAGCAGGGGGGGCGGGGGAGGGGGCGGGCTCTGCTAGCCCCGCACACGCTTTGAGCTTTGCACAGGCTGCTTTTCCTAACAAGAACAACAAATCTCATGTAGGGGGGGGAGGTGTTATATATTAGTAAGGTCTCCGCTGAGG